TGCTGGAGAACTGGAGATTGATCCTGAAAACTGGAGTCTCCAATCGAAATCTGGAGACCTGGCAATAACTGTGTTCTTATGCCTTCTCTGATACGCGTGCAACTACAGATGGGTAGACATTCCTGTGTCTCCGTGTGTAATGGAAGCAATTTCTTTTTTTTTTTAACAATGTATAGGTATGATGTATACAATCGGAGGAAACTATAAATTTCAAGCGGAAGACATCAATGATGCCTATTGTACGTTCATATATATAAATTTTCACTCTTCACGTTTCCGCTCTAAAGAAAAAGTTACATGTTCGCTATTCTGGTCACCCTACCCGAAAAGCACCCGAATGGGAATCCGAACACGTCCCAAGAAGTTTAATTGAAAAAAAAAAAACAGGCCTCAGATTTCACTGTTTTGCCTTTCGCGAGAAGAGAAGAAATCGAGTCCCGATATTCGAATATTCGAATCGACTTTCGATTTCGCCGCGCGTTCCACCTAACCTGATCGACTACGAACATATTTCTCCCCGAGATTCGCGAGAACGTCGAAATGTCACGGATCGTTCCAGCATTTTTTGGGATAGGAATAGATAGAACTCACATTCAGCACCGGTCTTTTCACCGCCGTCTTCTTCGACGATCACTTCTCGCGCGCGTTTGGCGATGTGCCGCGCCACGGCATTATAGGCACACAACCTACCGTCATGACGAAAGTTATGTTAATCGTCGATCGTTTTGCATCGTCAACTGCTTCGACGAGACAACGGTCTTTACGACCGTGGCCATGAACGGACGCGACATGATGTTCATTCTTCACCCGCGTCGTTTACGCGCCCGAATCTATCACAATCTGTCATTCGCGCCTGTCAAACACCACCAAAATAACACACTCGCGGAAATTGCACCAAACTGCACTGGACTGCACCGACTGCACTTTCGCTCCCGGCCTTCCAATTCCGTGCGTTCCGTTGGGCGACGCTGCGCATCCCGCTCTTTTAAAGTCACTAGATAGATGAAGTCTTGCAATGGGCTTTCGAGTTTGATTGCGTCAAAATGGCGGAACTGCACCATATGCACTATTCACATGATGTTTTGCACTTACGTATATGTATATACTGCTTGCGCATTTTATAATTAGCTCGCTCGTTCTTTAGTGGATTGGACAAGCTCGTGGATTAGACAAGGACAACAAAGTTGATTATTCGTCTTTGTCTAATCCATGTAATAGTACGGAAAAGAATCACAAAAACGTGGACATTACCCTACGAGGTTTGGTACATGAAAAAGACCGGTATGTCCACTCTCAGGTTTCTCTCTGGTTTTATGAGGAAAAAATAATAAATGTTTTGCGTCACACTGTGCGTCACGCGGCGCGTCACGCGATACGTCACGCGGTACGTCACGCGGCGCGTCACGTTTATGCGCAGTTACCGCGCAGTCATTCATTCCCTTACCGATGCTCGTACAGGCAGATAGCTGTGTCGCGTGCCGCTCTTCTTCATTTTTCTTATCCCGAAATCTTATCGCGAAGAATGAAATATAAAACGAAACGTAGTACTTTAAACGTAATACTCAGTATACGATTACTAACTTGCACGTTAAATTCGAATTATTTGTAAAAGGATCGACATTACAATCGTACGTGTATCACGGAACAGATATTTCGTATTCAATTTTGGAATAAAAATGCGATGGAAAAACAGAATTTATTACTATTTTTATATAATTACGGACGACAATTATTTTTGCTTAACGTAAAGTTTTTCTCTCGCTTGAATATAAGTCTCGATTATTCTTCGAACGGTATTACACGAGCCATAAAAAAACAACGTTAATAAATACTCTCATGCAAATAAAGCAATGTATGCGATTCTTACCCTGGTAGCAAGCTGACGTCAAAATAACGGCCTTTGACGTCAAAATGACGTGTGTTGCTACCTGGGTACTTTCACAATTGATACAGTTTGCGTAATTAATAATTTAATTAATTTTTCATTTTCGTTTAGTGCGGAGCATTAATTCACTGGGTCATAGTAGTAGCTGGACTTATCGATGCTGAGTCGGTAATAAAAGTTAATAAATTAAATATTAAGGAATAAGATCTGTTTCGATCAAAGATAGAATTCTTTCTTTCTTATTGGACTTATTCATATCAGGCTAATTCCGATTAATATTAATATGAGAAGTATTCATACAAGAGTCCCTTAAAATTTTTTGAAAATACAGGGTGATTACTAATGGTTGTACCAACTACTTACCATAAGACTTACCTACTGCATGACTTACCGATTGCACTTGTAATTTACTAAACGCTCCTTAGATGGCGTCGTTGCTTCGTCCGGCGCGCGAGCAGGTCCGACGTACATACAAAGGCCCTTGGTGAAAAATATTTTCTCCGAAAACATCCCTGATAAAAGTTTTTCTCATAATCTTTATATGAATCGAAACGTTTTTCGGAAATCATTAGATTTACTTGGAAAGTGTACATCTTCTCTTTGAATTTTTCATACATGTGAATTCTGAAATATTTGGAGATTTCTCATTCCACAATTTAAAAAAAAATACTTTTAACTATTAGGTGCGCAACTAAGTTCTCGCTGTTATTTTGATGAAAATGCAACTTGATTGTGAAAAAATGGTTACAAATGAATCATTGAAAGTATTGCCCATCGCTAGCTACTACTTTTTCCCATCTTTCTGGCAGAGCTCGAATACCGTTACGGTAAAACTGTTCATCTTTTGAGACTATCCACGAATCAAGCCATTTTTTGATGTCTTCATATGAGTCGAACTGCTGGTCAGCCAGACCATGTGCCATTGAACGGAACAAGTGATAATCGGACGGCGCAATATCTGGAGAATATGGCGGGTGGGGTAGGACTTCCCATTTCAGCGTTTGCAGATAGGTTTTAACGGGTTTTGCAACGTGAGGCC